TGTGGCCAGGTATCTTATTTGAACATGGTCATTTTTGGCCACGTTGCTCTTTCATACTAGGACTTGGGATGATGTAGCCAGAATGAAACTCAAGTTGCACCCTCTGGTTGGTGGAAGAGTGCTGACCGCGCCATTTCTTGGCAGAAGGCATCATGGTGCCCAGGAACTCAGCAAAGCCATTATTAGAGTTCTGAGGCCCTTCTGAATGTAAAACAGGAGCCCAGGAGATGCTGTCCCAGGAGGGCTATTAACTCCCTATAGAGCCAGGAGACAGGAGGGGGGTTTCTAGGGTCCAACACCAGCTTACCTTGGGAGTATGGATCTACCCATGAAGGATGAGAGATGTTTTGAATAACTAGCCAGGACACACCACAGGATCCTACTGGATCCTTAGCAGCTGATTGGTATTACATAATTAATTGGAGATGCATTAGGTCACTTGAATGTATAAGCACCTGTGGTAGGTGCTACAGACATTTCAATCTCTGATTTACTAAAAAAATATCTTTGGGAATTCGATGCCCCCATGGAATTTATGGTTACGAGTTATGTGAATTGACTTAAGTATCTTGAAAAAGAAACTTGAGGGAAATCATCAGGGGTGTGTACTCAGTATTTCAAATCAGAACACAAGATTGGATCTTTTGGAAAAATGGGTTCAAGCTTTCCTGTTACCCATGGAAATGCAAAGTTTAGCACAAGCAAGCAATTAGGCAGAGAACAAAAATGTTAACCATTGTGTTTTCTGTCTTCCTGGAGTGGTTGGAAATTGTAATTTGATAGATTTATCAGTATAAAATTAGGGAAACCAAGTGTGGGGAATGAATCAATTTAGAGTTTTGGAAACTGTAAGGTGACTTCTGTAACTTTCGTTCTGTGTGTGACCTGTGAACCATTAGGATGTGATCTGCCCTTGTGGGCAGGTCCAGCAGTTTAGGAGTTAGGCTTTAGCATAAGTTTCTAGCTGCATAAGATGAGTCTCCTGGGATAGGTGCGCTTTGGCTGGTTTTGGCCGCAAATGGTGAGATCAGAGCAGCTCTTCCTGCTGCTGGCCCCTGAAATCAGTTGTTGGGATGCCATTGCAGATACTAAGTAGTAAGATTTTAAACACCACCAGGTCTGAAATGCAGGTCATGAGTGTGAAATTCTCCAATTTACATAACAAGTAGAAGTATAGACAGTTTTTAACATTTGGTATTAAAGGAGAGGAAATTGTAGCAGCTTTTCACGTTTCCTAATCCCCATTAGAGGGCTTGAGACCTCGTATCTGAACAGCCCATTTCGCACTCAGTGCTTTTTGATGCCTTAGAAATAGGAGAATTGTTTTGTTTGACAAAAGCTGGGAAGGAAAAAGTCCGTTCTGCAGCTGTTAGATCTGCCTCTCAGGAAAAAGTACTAACTTGTTCTTTTTGTTCCTGGCTTTCATCAATTTGTGAAATTTCTCTATTTTTTTAAATATAATTTTATTTCTTTCAACAAATTTAAAATAAAAAACAACTTTGGAACAATGACTTGTCTTTCATTGTGGCTTTCTTTATATTAGATACCAAAAAGCAGTCCAGATGTTAAACAGCTGGGAAGCCCAGGCAGGCGCCTTGCCGTCTTTCCTGTTCCCACACTGGACGGCCGGGGGGGTAGGGGTGGGGAAAGTGGGGAGACAGGCAGAGGTATTTGCGTCCAAGTCTAGATCTCCCCGATTGCCCTTAGTGGATAGGAAAATAGTTTTCTCTGAACATGGGATACATCTTTAGTTACGTTTTTAGTCACTTGGTCTAAACTAAAAATTATACCAGAATAGCGAAAGGAATAAGTGAATAAATGGGTTCCTGTTTAATCACCTAGTGTCTCAGAGCATGGTTCCCATTTAGGGAAGAAATTCTTGTTTCGAGGTAGATAAAGAATGTAAAGTAAGGCCGTTGCCCTATCTGGAGTTTTGTAGTACATGTGGACACCGTCTTCCTTTACATCATGCCATAGAGTATAGAGAGGAATTTGCTGATTTCATAAACATCGTTGAGTCCAGGGAGCTGATGTGAATTGAGTATTTCAAGGGAATGCCATTTAAATGCTTTTCTTCTATGATTCCTCAATTATTTTCATGTCTTGGGAAATAAATTCCTGCTTGCTGCATCTTAATAAAAAGTGGAGGTCAGGAATTATTTCTATGGGAAGTGTGGCCCGTTTCACTTCTTTGAATTAGTTGTAATTTAGAATCCAATAACGTGTCTTGGGGAATTTTACCAAGCGATGACATCTTTGTGAGGGGGCCAGGTCTTTTTCTGATGAAAGCACTGTTACATCAGCTCATCCACTGCCTGTGCCTAGCCAGAGAGTTCATACGCGTTTTACAGTTTTACATACACTCAGAGAACACCATTGCCTAGGTATTATTTTACTGTAATATCCCACTCCTCACAGAGCTCTAGGCCTGAAAGCTGTAGAAGCATCTAGAGAAATGGGGGTTATAGAATTGAACTTGGAAAAGGAATAAAGTTGTCAGTGAAACAGTCACGCGTTACACTTTTTGCAGCCCAAACGCCACCTCTCATCCCTCCGTTTAAAGCGGCTGTTAGAACCAAATGCGCTTCCGCATCTCCACCTTTCACTTCCACCTTCTAAATGGAGCTCCTGTACCTGTCTGCTTCACCCACCCTGACTTCCCATGCAGAGCCATCCTCTTCTCTTGCCTGGACTTGGTGACTGGCTCCTCTTCAGTGTTACTGGATGGCAGTGTCACTGCCTGCTGTCCAGAACCATCTTGTTGCTCCCCATTGCACACGGGGTGAGACCCAGGCTCCTTGTGCCGTGGTGTTTCCCCTCATCAACTTAATTTCCTTCCATCCTCCTGTGTCACTTTGCTTCGGCTCTAGGGCTTTTCCAAGCTCTTTTCTGCCCTTCCTGGGACAGCTCCTTCTGTCCGAAATGAAGCATCTCCCCTAACTTTTCACTAACAAGCTCCCTCCTCTATCTTAGCCCCCTGGCTGTCTACGCTAAGCCTATCGTGTTGCTTGCTTCACAGCACTTTGCGGTGTTTGAAACAATGTATTTGTTCATACTCGTTTGAGGTGAAGGCCTCTCAGGAGACTAGAGGCTTAGAAAGGAGGGGTCATGTTTGTATCCTGCACTGGCAGAGTAGATGCTCAATTATTTATTGAATGAATACCTAGACACAGTTTCAGAAGGGTTGTAGCACTATACAGCTTTCTGGAGGGGTCTCTAATGGATTTCTGAAGCCGCACAAATTTCTGCAGAGGTTAGAAGAGACAGTTAGGTACAAACACGGGGGTAGAGGAGATAGCTACTGCTGGCCCTCTAGACCTATGCTTCCAAAGAATGCCCTTTGAGACCGGTGGAGACTCACGCCTGTAATCGTAGCACTTTGGGAGGCCAAGGCAGGATTGCTTGAGGCCGGGAGTTCAAGACCAACTTGGCTAACATAGCAAAACCTTGTCTCTGTTTATTTAACTTTTTTTTTTTTTTTTTAAAGAGCACTCTTTGACCTAGTGACTCAGGAAGAACATGTGACCTCTCTGTTCCTAGTGACCTTCTGAAAAGTGTTTAGATAGAATTAGAGATTTCTCCTTGCTCCTTTTTGTTTGCTTTTTTTTTTTGAAGCGGAGTCCTGCTCTGTCGCCCAGGCTGGAGTGCAGTGGCCCGATCGCAGCTCACTGCAAGCTCCATCTCCCGGGTTCACACCATTCTCCTGCCTCAGCCTCCTGAGTAGCTGGGACTACAGGCGCCCACCACCACGCCTGGCTAATTTTTTGTATTTTTTAGTAGAAACGGGGTTTCACCATGTTAGCCAGGATGGTCTCGATCTCCTGACCTCATGACCCGCCTGCCTCGGCCTCCCAAAGTGCTGGGGTTACAGGCGTGAGCCACCGTGCTGGCCTTTGGTGACTTCTGAAAATGTCTGTCTCTTCAGCTACAGTTTTCCACCCCCTCATCCTCATGGTTTCATCTGTGGCATTTTTCTCACTTGTCATCCTTCACCTTGGCTTGGTAACTCCTGGATGGGAGCTCTGTGAGAAGGCAAACCTGGAATGGTGTACAGAATTCTAGAAACCAGCTCCAGGGGTGGGCTGTTCTGTGGGACCCTGGGAGAACTGGAGAAGGTGAGGCAAGGACAGATACTTCAACAGGCATGGCTGGGCCCTGGCTAGCTTCCTGCCTGGTGGAGTTTAGTCAAGGACTACACTTAGGGAGGACAAACGGTCTTTGCAAATTCGCTGTGGCGCTGCCTTCGTTGGCAGTGTCTCTGACAGAGGCTGGCTTCGGCTAAGGTGTCCCACATGAAAAACAAATCAAGGACAAGAGATCCCTGCAAGTCTCCGGTTTTAAATATCTGCAGCTCAAGCGCTACGTAATTCTACCACCTTCAGAAATCCAGTTTGGAGGCAGTGACTGTATCAGAAAGACTTGTGTTAAATCAGTCCGCCCTTTAACTTGCGCGAAGGTGTGGCGCGGGGTGACTTGGCCAGTCTGACCTGAGTGCCTAGGATCTTCCCGCAGCGTTGCTTGCCCCACCTCAAACCTCAGGCTGCACTGGTACTGACAAGCTAAAACCACCTTGCCTGGGAGTACTGCTCACACTTGTCTGTTAGGAGCATCTGGCGGGCGCTTGTGAAATACACAATTCCTAGGCCATTGCCCCTCGAGATTGAGTCAGATGGTCTGAGGGGGTCCCAGGAATCTCTTACCAAATGCCCCAGTGGTTCTGATCCTGTTAGGCTTGGAGAAACCTTATAGCAAGTGACAGGGTGACACCAGAGCCCCGAGTCCCAGGGGCTCAAAGCAGGCTCCTCAGGGAGGACTCTGCCCTTGTCCCACCAGGCCAGTTCAAGGCAGTAGCAGCCGTTAGAGGGCCTGTGCCGCCAGCACCCTTTTCCTGGAACCGACTTTTGACACTGACACCAGGTGAGCCATCTTTTCAGGGTGTATGGGGTCCCAAATGCTCGTCTGCAAAGGAATAAAGAATAAAGGGGAAGCCGTGCACAAAGGACCATTTTAGGAAATCTTTTATTGCAACTGTCATTCTGCATATTGATTTTTGAGAGAAAGTATCAGAAATGCTTCTTTCCTGGGAAAAGGAATACAAAATGACAGCAAGACACATTTTAGTTGCTACTAAAGAACAGCATTGTTTTCAATCATTTTAAATCGCTCATTTAATAAGCAAGGTATAAAACAGATTAAAGGTGTGAGCTTGCAAAAGGGTAATTAAAAAAGTGTTTCCTCCCCAGGAAACAGCGCTGTTTGGTCTGCTCAAATGCCGAAGCTGGGATCTGATTCTGGGTGCCGTCTCTCGCTACTGGAGTGCTGACCAGCAGGCTGCCCATCGCGAAAAGAGGTTGCAAGGCCAGGTCCCCGGGTGTGCTGGGATTTCTGGCTGGCTCTACTTGGGGCCGGAGAAGGGGGAAAAGGCCTTGTCACAGCCTGCCATGCATGCTTCAATCTCTTCCACGGTGCGGGGCACGCAGGTCAGCAGCTCCATGCCGCTGTCAGTCACCACGACGTCCTCCTCGATGCGGACCTGGGTCGAGCCGACAGACACACATTATCTCAGAGCAGCCTCATGTGCCAGGCTAGAGGGCCGGGCCCATTCCAGGCCCACCCCACCATGGGCTGGGAGCAGCTGACACTCCCTGGGAGAGGGAAGTGGCCGCCAGGCTCCTTCATGGAGCCATCTGCTCACGTCACCTGCTCACCCTGTCCTCGCCAGGTGGATGGGAGCCCCTGGAGCAGGAAGGAGTTTTGCAGGATCCCCGTCTGTTCCTACTGAGGGGTGAGGCTCCATCTCGTGACAGACCACACGAAGGGGCAAGCTGAGCCCACCTCAAGGGAAGGCGTCACTAGGGCCCCTGTCTTGGTGGCAGATGTTCTGGGAGCAAGAATGGGGCCCATGGGCACTCACCCCACCAAAACCGCGAAAGCGCTGCAGGACCTCGCGGTTAAAGAAGCAGGCACGGGCCGGGTCCACCAGGGCCTCGTCCAGGAGGTGGTCGATGAAGTAGATGCCCGGCTCCACGGTGAGCACCATGCCTGGCTGCAGGTACCGTGCAGTGCGCAGACTCCGCAGGCCGGGCTCGTCAATACGCTCCGTGCCCTGTGGGGAACAGAGATGAGGGGCCCAATGAGCAGCTCCAGGGCTCACCGTGGCCTCATCAGGAGAGATGGGCACGTGAGGGCTGGCGCCAGTCTCGTGGGCTCTCTTGACCATTGAGGTCCTCAGCCTAGG